TTGTCCTGTACCGAATCCCATAGTGTCGAATAAAATAAATACTATACCGGCCAATCCTCTCGGACGTTTGGAACATTCTTTCAGTGCTTTGGGCCTTAAAAAATAATTCGCTACTTTGAGATTTTAAAGTCCCTAATCACCGAATCATTACGTGCCGTATCGCCAAATCCCAAACTAACGTTTGCAGTGTAATATGACTTAAAATCCTATAGCACCGAAAGATATAACTTTGTAAATCTTTAAAAGTATTTCACTCTCTACGTTTTTTCTTGAGCGAGTTTAGAAAGCACAAATCCGTGCTGGAGTGCGATTGCACTCTAGGTAGGCACATGAGTGGCAAAACTCCAACCATTGTTCGTATAAGGTCACCTGACAAGCCCTGAATACTGGATGGTTCCTCCTTGCAAGGCGCAACCCACCGCTTAGAGTTTGCGAAACATGTAATGGTTTCCTGCAATTTGGACACCTTGCGAAAGTTTTAAACTACACTAAACAGGGGAAACAAACTACTGTCAAATAAAATTGCTGTATGTTGGGTACAGGTTGACAAGAACGGGTGGACAGGAGTTAGTGGAAACTGGGCGGGTGTTGAAATTGTTACAAATGCAAACCGGTAGGGGTAGAGGACGCATTTTGCTTGACGACATGGCCTATAATGTATGCTCAGAAACTATGTTAATGTTTTTCGTTTTGTCCGTTGGAAATAATGCACTTTCACCGCATGTTACTCTGATCAGCTGTTTTGATACACTTTTCGAACTGGTGATGCAGTATACTATGAACATTTTAAAATAATTTTTAAATTTAGGATGCGCTGGATTTTTATGCCTGGGCATAAAGAATTGGGCTTCACTGAGAATTGCAAATATCTGCTCATAAAATTGCAACCTCCGATTGTTCAACGTACGATCATACCAATATAAACAAATATGGCTTTTAGTAAAGTCAGTTCTACAATACCAGATAGGCCCTCCTTGCCTGATATACCTCGTGCGGACCTACGACTAAACCTCCGGATCGTGTCATTATCATATAGCCAAGCCATCGGTGACAAGCTGTATTTGAACCCGAGACTGTAGGTCAGATATCACGCACCCTATCCACGATTGAATACCTTCATGTCATTGCACCACCCTTGTAATGAGTCGTTTACATTCTTATCGTGGTTACTTTACGTTAAAGTAAATATTAAGTACCACAGACAAAAAAAATGGTTCTGTTTTGTACACCAGGAGAATCTAAAGTCTTAAAACCAAACCTATATGGCATGTCGGTTGACAAACATACAGAAGGCTCGAAGTAGTAAAACTACACGAGACGTTTGTCATTCGCTTAGTCATTAGGACTGGATGTTTGTGAGGCCGTGTTTGACTGTGCTATAAAGATGGCATGTTTGTATTGACCATGGGGAAGCCATGTTGGTGTGACTCACACACCGCTGCCGCAGTTTCTCTCATCTTATCGTCGATAACACTGAGAAAGCGACAGCGAGCTCTTGACTTGACTCGCGAAATACAGTTTACGCGATCACAGAGCCAGTGAAAGCCTCGTGGGGCCAAACACTGTGTAGCCAGTCTCAGAACCCGTTGTTGAAGATTTTCAAGTTATTTTTGACTGCTGGTACTACTATCATAGGTGGTTCCAAAGGGGGGCTACACAGGGGCCAAAGCCCTCCAATTGTACTCTGGGAAAATTAATTCAATCATACATTTTGTCCTAAAGACTTAACGGAGATCTTGGATACAGTTGAGTGGGTAGCAGAGTGGTTAAGTGCTCGCCTCAATCAAAAGGTCGCCGGTTCGATCTTGAAAAAAGTCAGTAGCGTAATGGGTTGAATCTGGACCCAGCTGTTCCTGATCATAGGGTTTTAAATAAATTATCCGAACAGATGAAACAGCTGAGCTTAGTCAGTAACAAAGCAACACAGATCACCTCACACCATTCTACTCTTGGGTTGAAATACGCACCAAGGCGGCGTCGTCATCTATATTAATTACTATATGTTGACATGTTGACAAAAAATATCTAGACGTTAAAAATGTCTTTTGAAAGTCACCAAACTGCTCTAAAAATACAGAATTTTCCGGTAGAGAACCCATGAACCCCCCTCTTTTATTGGTAGGTGTGGGACACCCCCTTGACAAGGTCCTAGAACCACCACTGACTACCATTGCATTGGTGCAAGTAGTTGGATATGAAATTATGATGTCCAGGCGAATAGTCTCCACTGAATTTGGTTTGGGGCATTGGCTTATTTTTAACCTTGATCGTGTTGACAACACACAAACAAGTCACGACTTAGCACAGATTAAATACTTTCACGTAGATTTACTATTCTTGCGAATCAACTTGAGACAATTTTAATGCTGGTTGTGTAGACTGTAGAGAGTTTTTTTGGTTGTTTACTATTCGTTTATTGTTATTTCACCAAAATTTGAAAATTTAAACAAAACCTAAGGCAGTTTTTAAGGTTTCATGCCTATTCCAGCTGGTATTATAACCGAAGTATAATACAATAACAAGCTAATTATCAAATCTACTGTAAAATAGGGAAGACATATTTAGTCGACAATGACGCACTCAAAAGTTGTTATAACAAGCTTAAGATTTTACCATGAAATACAAAGGTTACTTTAACTCTAGTCTATTCAAAGTTGACGCTATTTTATAAATGCTGTATAATCAGGTTGGACTGAACAATTTTCGCTTGTTGTACAAGTTAACAACAAGATCTAAATGTATTCGTTTTATGAGCAACCATCCAACCAACCGCAATATTTTTCGAATATACATTTTCACTGGCAAACAAGCGACTCGGCTCATGTGCTCTTATGTTTTAACATCAAAAGAAATCTCGATAATTTTACAGCCTACGCTATGGGTTTTACGAGATCACACTACAGCGATGTTTATCTTTCGCACTAACACCAGGTGTTAGTAAACAATAAACGTCAGGCCAGGCAGTTCTGAGATTTGCCATCACGTGACAACGTGTAAGTGCTACGTACTACTCTGACGTCACGACTCTCTTTGTTATCTACTCCAGGATCGGTCTCTTTGTATCCTACAAGTTTCCTTGTGGGGCCGCCAAGGATCTGCATCCTTATACGGCGTCTGTTATTAAGGAGCTGTGTCTAGTCTATTTACCGCAATTAAAAGACAAAGAGTAGCAATCTGGTTATGAAAAATGAGTCATCTATGCTTCATGATGCTATAATGTATTCAGTTTCTTCCATGTTTTAGTCGGCTGTCCTTACTCCTTACATATGTAAAACATATTAGCGGATCGGCAATGAAGTAAAAAAATGTATAAGATACACTTTGCGAAAAATTTGAATGCATAGGCAGGTATCATTGTTGTATAAATGAATAGAACGCCCTACAACAACCATTGACTATTGGATACTGAAGTTCTATCAATAGACAACGGTTTATGCACTTAAATACCTTACATATGTGTAATTTTTACAATGACAACTCCTTAAAGAATAAGTACCTAATAATATATATGACACATTGATTTTCAGCCTACATAAGTTAGTGTAAATTTTAAGGATATTCTTTGCCACGTCCTATAAGTTCCACAAAAGGAAAAATGTCTTACTCGAATTTTGTATACATACAAAATCATTGACGCCGCGAACGTTAGGTTTGCAACACTGCCGTAAACTAGATCAGCTGTTGTGGCCGGGTGGCGTGTAGGTAGTGGTAGTACAGCTGATTAGTTCGCGCCACGCCGCTGTCAGCTGATCCCCATCTACAGTTCTAGCATTTCGCTGTTTTTGCAGCATGCAGCCTCGCCGTCAACGGCGTTGTGGTTAGGCGACTTTCTCGGTGCAACTACGGAGATCGCGGCTTTCAGCTCAGCTTTCTATCTTTATGCCTTCGTTTGGGAAAACTTTAATTACTGTACCTTAAGTTTAAAGTCGGTATTGCCACCCAGGATTGTGGCTCGAAACTTGAGTATCATTTAGGCAAGAGGGAATGTTAATCCTAGCTACTAAGTCCAGAGCAACTTTCTCGGGGGGAAAAATAGAGCACTCTAGTGCAATAAAAATTGGAGGTAATGTTACCCAAAGCAGACAGAAAATCAAATTGTTATTCTTCATCCATCATTTTCAATTAATTTAAGTCTAATAACTATATATAACTATATCGTTTTATCTATAACTATATAATATATATATAACTATAGTCTATATAACTATAGATCTTAATTCAACAGCAGTGTTCAAGTTATGCATTGCAAATTACATACCTTCTACTATAGTTCGGCCGCTTAGAAAGCGACCTCCTCCAGCATTGGTTTAGCATTAGCGCCCAGGTCGTTTTCTAAGCAGCCAAACTATACCAGGATCCATCCAATTGATTAAACAAAACAATTTGGAACACTTTATTTGGTGTAGTAGCTGGAGCAAACTACCGGTACTAAACAATGGATTGATTCCTAATTGAAAATAAATTGGTAATAAAATAATGATTGCCAATAATTGTTAATAAAATCTTTAAATAGGATTGTAAAGGACAGTTTTTTGTTTGTTTTATTTTTTAGTTCCTTGTTTGGAATGAAATGTTCAAATGTTGAGGTGAGCAATACGCGAACTCTGTGATTTGAGTTGTCTAAATTAATGCATCGTTATCATAATAATGCATTGAGTTTGTTTCATTCATTTAAACAAAATAATCTAACAAGCTATGAAAAGTTCACATCTGGCCCTCTCATTACAAGATCAAGATATCCTTTCCAATACACAGACTCAATAATACTAACAAAAAAAAAAATAAGGAAAGGAGTGAAATAAATTATCTATGACATTAGCTCCAGTAATAAAATCTATTTTAATACTTTACTTGATCAAAATGTTAACCTTATTCAAGGAGCCACACTAGTTTCTGGACTACTCTCTCTGCAGATTTGTTTAGCGGATTTAAATATTTGAACCTAGATTGTTTGATTTGTAAGTGGTTTAACATTTAATATGAAATTTTTACTGTTCCAGGAGTCAGTCAAAAGCCTCGTACTTAGCTTCATACCGCAGGGAGCCGAGGGAGCGAGAGAAAGGTCTTCCGAACTTTGAGGGGAGTTACAAGAGGACAATGTCACCTTCTGGAGGTCACATTATCCACTCTTCAGGTAATTACAATGATTCATTCTCAGTTGCGGACCCAGGGGGGGGGGGGTGGGAGGGATATATCCCCCCCAAAATATTTTATATTTTATTAGCTAACATAAATAGCCTACTATTAGCTTGAGCATATTTTATCGCTCAATTATGTACAAAACTATGTTTTTAGGCTTTAAATTCCACATTTTTTCCGAGGGGAGCCCCGGACCCCCCTTTTCTGGGGGATATTACATACCCCCCGGCCCTAGACCCCCGTTGGTCATCCCCCCCCCGAAATTAAATCCTGGGGCCGCCACTGTTTCTTCTTACTGTTTTATTGGTCTATTTTATAAATTGATCAACACCCTCTTGTCCATTGGACAGTCATGTTGTATTGAGTGAAAAACTACCAGTAATGAGCTGTAATAGAGATCAACCAAAAGGCTGGGGAAAAAAGTTCAATGATACAAACATTTGATTTTGACAATATTACTAATTGAATTTGAATTATTAATATAATGATAATGTAAAGAAGTAATCAAAGCCTGCAATACACAAATATGGTTTACTCATATAATGTTCTTGAATTATGTATTTATTTTTTGGAGGGGAGGGGGATAAGTGAAACCCAAAATGCTAGGATATAACCCCCCCCCTGAACTATGGATTTTTTCACTCATGTAAACTTTGTTAAGTGTTTTAGTGCTATGTTGTTCAAAGGTTTATTGCGGACATTTTCCATCACGAATGTAAAAAACAATACACAACGCCGCCAAAGATTTTAGTGCTAACTTGTAAACCCTAAGTCATATGGATTGCAATAGCCAGATCTGTCTATCTTGCACAAAATACTGCTGCAAAATACACTAATTTAGTTTACAAGCTCATAAAATTCTTAAAAGTTGCTAATGAGAAAATAGAAACAGAGAATGCAGAAATAGTAAGAGAAATCTGTATCATGTTTCTAAAATTGTACAGGATGAAGTTGATACATATGAATTTTAGGAAATATGCAATATATAGAACCATGTAAGATGTGCATAGTAATAGAAGGTTATTTTATCAACAGTATGTATGCTGTTGTATTTTTTGGCCACCTTTTAAATAATCTAGCCGTTGATAAGTTTACTATGTACTAGAAAATTGAATATCCCGAACTATATTTCAAAATTATCTTTTCTAATTGCATGTTATTAAAATTGTAAATCGTTCATAGCAAAATTTCTCCTCCTGAGGATCCATGTCTTGTAGGAATGTAGAACAGATGTAATCCAAAGTGGATCTTTATTAGGCTCACGGAAATGGATATAGTGAAAGCATTAATAAGAAACAGCCAAACGGTATGTCACCGTAATTGAAGCCATTATAACTTTCCATTATCTACACTTGTTCTTGCTTTGCTCCTGGAAATTATTTGATTGCAATTGAAGACCAGACAAATACCTAACCTAGTTAAACAAGCAAAAAATTTTGTTTTAGATGCTAATTTTTTTAAATTTTAATCTTAGGTCTTTATTTCCCCGTACCCTACAGTATTTGGGCTACATTTTATTACATCAAATATACCATCTCAAACCGTAGCAACTTTATCAGCTGCTACACAAACTTAAGTCAACATGGAAATTCCCCAAGACTCTTAACTTGAATATCATATCTTAAGTTAGGTTTTATTGCTCAAAATTGGAAGTCAAATAAACTAACACGTTGAAACATTTCCAGTAAAATGAGAATGGACTATTATAATTTTATGTAATTTTCTATTAAATTTCATACTACAGATAACACTTGAAACTTGCTTGTGTCACTGTTAGTCATGGGCGTGTTTCAGTGGAATAGATAAGATAATTATGGTTGCCAAGCATACAACAGTGAACTGTGTGACAGTGACAGTTTCTCATGAAAATGTTCACTTTTATAAAAGAAAAGTTACATCATCGAGATCACAACGCACATCCAAGGCTCAGGAGGGCTGCTGGAGTGGGTTGTCATCGGCCTATAACTGTGCATGAGTCGACATTTTATGTTCCTCACTCATTCATCCACGAAGGTAAACTGTATACTGCAGGTCATGGTGTCAGTCATTGTATAAGCTATAAAGTAGGTGGGGGTGTAAGTTAAAACTTCTGTCTAAATAAACCTTGGGAATATAAACTTGTGTTAGAATTAATTATTATTTCTAGGACCATCTTATCATGAAAAGTATGGCTTCCACAGAAACGTATATTAAAAACTAGGTATTCTGGACTGACGGCTAATACTAATGCTTAGAAGTAGTGTCTTTCACCTTGATTCTTTAAGCAGTAGGGCCTATAAGTTTCTGCATGTGAAGCGGTAGTAATTAGAAGACCTAGTTTTTAGAATAACTTGTCTTTGTCAAAAATGTAAAACTGACTTTCAATTTTTTTTTCAGAACCAATGAAGGAGAAGTCAGCAAGTCAAGATTCCGGGCTCGATGACAAACAGTCGTATTCTGAAGGGAGTAAAAGTCCTAGTCAAGAGAACCTCGCAAGTTCTACAGTCTCATCTTGCGATGACATCGAAATGTCCAAAACGTTGCCGAGAAACTACTCCTTGTCTTTGCTATCTCCTACTAAGCGACCGACAAGGACGCCCAGGACCCAGTCCGACCCGATCAAAGCTACTCCACGCGAAGTCATTGAAGAAGTAACGAAAGTTTGCGAATCATTAGACGTGGAGGTGAAGTGCGAAAGACTCCAACCGGAACTAGAACCGGAGAATAAATCTGTTAGTGAGTCGTCCACGGACGAATCCACAAAGCATAGTGACTCTAGTTCGAGTGTAGTGAGTGTGAGTGAGGCGGAGAGGACAATTGAGGAACCGCTGCGGCTGGTGCAGAGGACGGAGGTGACGCTGAGAGTTAACGCCCCGACAACGGACACAGCTTGTCAGACGGAAACATTGGCCACTCCTCTACCCACCATCAGACCACAGCTGAATGAGGAGATAGAATGTGATCAGCTGTCTAGGGACTTGGCCAGTCAGCTGAGCCCTTCACACAGGCTACATGGCATCCTGGGTAAGTGGGATCTGATACTACTCTTAGATTAGACTAATACAAGCCAACAGGACAGAGTACACACTTTTTGGCAAAGATGAGTAAATGAGCGTTGAATAGATGAAAATAACAGCTCTGTTATTTAGACAGGACTATTTATTACAAGCCCAATAAACAATAAGTGGAGTATTTTTTACTGTACCTAATTTGACTTTTTGGACATATGCAGGAGATTTAGTAGTGTCAATGCTATAAAGATAACAGAATAAACATAATAGGAATAGTGGGAATTGAAATTCAAATACTTATGCTATATATGTAGATAATTATGCCATAGAAACAAGAGTAGTGAAGAGATCGTTTTTAGGATAATGTGTAGGGAAGGTAGCTTGAGAGTGACAGAAAATATCCCCTCTACTCTGAGAATACTAACGAGATCCAGTGACAATATTTGAGATGACAGTACAAAATAACAAAAGGGAAGGTGGTGGGAGAAGGATGCACGTTTTAATGCTCGCCATTCCAAATTATTCAATCCATACAATATTGTTACTATAAGTGACAGGATTAGGGAATATATTGCTTCATACATTTGAGGTCCTACTATCTGCCAGTTCTATTCGGGGTGTATTTCCCTACCCCATCTCAAGCACACTATATAGAATGCCATTAAGTAATCACGGTTAAAAATTAATGGGTGCATGTTGATAAAGAGATTGACAGGTAAAACCATTACAGTTATTTGATGTCTTGGTGTAGTTGTGGTAGAGTGAAACAATCAGAAAGTGGAAGTTGTGTAGGATTTAGATATCTAACCTTCTGGTAATATGGTCAACATCCTCTATTAGGTACTGATTTATAAGATGATTTTTAGCTTAGCTTTGATAGAGTTTAATGGTTTGGACAGGTATAAATAAGAAAAGGTAGTCATGCTCTGAAAAAGTATTTACTGTTATTGTATACTGTAATCAAAAACTATTTGTGGTCCATTCATCTATTTTACTTGCTATTTATCTATCTCGAAAGTACTTAGTTACCATCCATAAAAGACAGACACGTAAATACTTAAATCTGAGAATATTCTTTTTCAAGCGAAGGTCGATTTTGATTTTAAACATAAAATATAGTAAAGAAATATACCATTAAGAAACATGACTTATCCTAAAACCTACATTTCAAACAGGTAGTTCAACAGAATACCCTGATAAAGGTAACATGTTCAGATGTTTTCAAATTACCTTTGATTACCAAATAGGTATTGTAGTTGAGTAAATTATTTGGTCAACATTGGTGCTCCTAGTAAATCTATAGCTTTTAACACAGTAAATTTGCTTGTTCCTATCTCTGAAATATCCATTATTTGACTACACTTCACTTAGTAAAATATTCTCCCTATCAAATGGTTAAATGGTATATTTGATGGAGGGAACACTCTTTTAAGTAGATAAAAAGTTGTGTGTTATGTACAAAACTTGACAGAAAATCGCAACATCCTTGGTAAAAAACTGCCGATTACAGGCACTACATTGCCCATATTCATACCCTTTTAGGATAGCTATGCCCTCAGTATTCAGTTATTAATAGAAACAACTATTTTTATCACTACCCCTTTTGATATTTAGGTTCAGTTAGTTTGGTTAGGCCTACTAGTTGAACTTTGAGTGATTGTGTTATTCATGACTTTTATAGAAACCCCAGCCATGTGACTAATTAACTAAACTTGAAGTGTAAATATCTTGTCAATTTAAAATACAATGCCTACCCACTCTGTTGGAAGAGTAGTGGAATAATTTTAGAAATTATAGTAGTGCGATAGAAAGTGTGAGGTATACAGTAAACTTTTAAGTGGTGACAAAAAACTAAAAATGTCTTTATAAAGTTATTATAACAGACACTTCATCTGTTTCAAATTCTGCCACTGAACCTTAAACTTTTGAAAAGTAAATATCCATATCCAATCACATATATCTTATGCAATAGTAGTGTATGGAGGCACTTCCCAGAAAAATTTAGATAAGATACTTGTTTTACAGAAAAAGGCAATAAGAATAATGTTAAATCTAGATTATAATGAGTCTGTAAAGCAACATTTTGTCAATTTGAAACTATTAACTGTGTTTAGTTTGTACGTACTGGAATGTATCGTACATGTAAAAAATAACCAGGAAAAATTTAAAACGCATTGTGAAACCCATCAATACAACACTAGAAACAAAAATAATATAGTTCTACCGAAACACAACTTAGAAATGTATAAAAATAAGCCCTCGTATGCCGGTGTACAGTTTTTAAAGTTAATACCAAAAATGAAATAAATATATTAAGGATAAAAAAAAGTTTAGACAAAAACTCAAAGAATTTTTGATAGAAAAACCCATCTACTCAATAGATGAACTTTTTATGAATGTATACAGCTATAGATAGTTTTATTTTCTGTATTTTTTGTTTAGGTTAAGTATTTGTACATAGTAATTATAAGCTTGACACTATTTATTGTACGTTTTGTACATAATATAAATAAAGATAATTTGAATTTGAATATTTTTACTAGAAATAGAGGTTACATAGAAAAATATCACTTTATAATTCCATGCAAAGATTTTATAACCCATCAAAAAATACCCCATTTCACATTTTTGAACTGACAAATTGAATCCTGTATGATTCTTTCATCGATCCAATTCATATTCACCATTTCAGTTTGTTAGTGTTCTTTAAATTACTTTTGTTACAACTGAATCATGAAAATCCCAAATCATATTGATTTTATTGTAATCCTGGAGCTAAAGAGATTTTAGATCAATGAACTTGGTTAACATTTTTAACACGTCTCTCGTTTGAGGTTGACTATTACTCTATTAAAGATTTTCAACAAAAGTCGTACGATAATTTGATTTCTATCTTCCCCAGTTCCGGGCCCAGAAGTGAAGAGGTCCATGGACTATGTCAGTGGCCTTTTCCGACTAGACATGGCACCGAGATCTCGAGCGTCTGTCGCAAGCACCACACAAACCACTGTGTCCCTCCCTCCGTCAGACTTTGTCGGCGACATCGTCAGGTTAGTTGAACCCTCAACCTTTTTTTTATGTCCATACAAAAGTATTATTAAAACAACAACTTGTGGTTTTTGTTTAGAATCATTTATAAAAAGGGTGATATAGATACTGAATATCCCTGATCTCTTGGAAAAGACCCCAATGTTACAGGTTGTTCATGGTTATACAGGGTGACACAAAGAAACCGGACGTTTTTTAAACAGCTGTTCCATTGTTGTAACACGTGGTAGGAAGATTGAGGGTATGTCATTACCTTCAGTGAGGCTTGCCATTTTTGTTGAAATGGCCCTTTGGACTCTAGACCATCACGTTTTCGCATACAATACTTTGGTCCAAAATGGTGAATCCGTCGTCAAATCCAGCGGGAATATAGTCGACATTTTAATACTGAACGCCATGGAACCGTTCCAAGCCAAAATACACTATTAAGATGGGTTTCAAGGTCTCGAAAAACTAGGAATATAACAAGAAAGTCTGGGGCCTTGTTAGAACTTCGAGAACACCCGAGAACATCGACAGAATGAGAGCAGTATTGAATGAATATTTCCTAACAAAGGTTTTTTTTCGCTTTGGTGGCATACCATGGCTGCCAAGGTCACCTGACTTGTCCACTGGTGATTACTTCCTTTGGGGGTTTCTTAAGGAGCGTGTTTATGCTCACAAACCACGCACTCTAGAGGATTTGAAGTTGGCAATCACAGAAGATACAATATGGCATTGAACAATACCTGCTGACTTGAGTTTCAGATGATTTTCAGACCAGAATGAACATTTGTAGAGAAGTACATGGCCGCCGTATGCATGACGTCATTTTCAAAAAATGACTGTTTTGTAACAAATGGCAAATGTTTACCTCACTATGTACAGTATTAAAACCATTTTATTCCATTTAACTACTATGTACTACTTATCTAAAAAACATCCGGTTCCTTTGTGTCACCCTGTATTAACAATGGAATTCAAAAACGTATCTACAGTTTTAAGTTTTCAGCAAGCAAATAATCAGCTGGTTTATGAAATTTTGATGTTACCTTGTGTGAATTATCCTAGTAATGTAAATAATTAACTTTATGGCGAAATCCCGCTGATCTGACACATTCAATGCATTGGGAGTCCCAGGATTTAATTTCGTGGGGGGGGGTGACCACCGGGGGGTCTGGGGTATGTAATTTCCCCCAGAAAAAGGGGGGTCCAGGGAATAATGTGGAATTTAAAGCCTAAAAACGCATTTTTATACGTATTTGAGCTCTAAAATATCCTCAAGCTTAAGTATTTATGTTAGCTAATAAAATATAAAATATTTCGAGGGGGGGGGAGGATATATCAGGACCGATATAGTTAGATATAGCTGGGACCGCCACTGACTCAACAGTCCATCATTGGTTTATGGAATGCTTTAAACTAAAAAGGTGCAATCAGCAAGTGTTTGGTAGGCTACGTGGGAAATCGTCTGAAGTTGGGCAAACTGAAAAATCACGTTTAAAAAAGGAACTATACACATGTACTACTGGCCCTTTTGTAGTAATAACAGAAATTTTTGGACAGTGCTCAGTAATGGAACAAATCCAGTAATTTGGCACAGCTGGATTTGCGGGAATCGCATCATAACGTCCCTGAAAGTCCCACAAAATTCCAATATACATAGATTGTGGACACTCCGAATTTTTATTTTAATACTTATGAAATATTATATTTTTGTTCATATTTAACATGTTTTTAATTTTTTATTACAAGCCAATACGATTTCTTTGTCACGTTCCAGGCTTTGCTTATTATTTGCAATATGCTTATTAATTGTTAATCATTTTAAGATTAACAACCATTCAATATTAAAATAAAGTATTCTTCATCGTCACTAACTAAAAACTTCAACATATAAATTCAACTTCATTTTATGTTCACAGTAAGGAGGACGAGACTGTTAAAGAGAAGGAGACAAACGAGAGGTTATCATCGGACTCTGCATATTTTACAACGTCCGAGTGTAAAGCTCGACTCCTGCTCAACTCACAGAACCAACCGACACCTCTGCCAGGCAATACCAACCTGCACCAGAAGAAGGTCAGTGGCCCAGGGCATAGGGGTTGGACTATTTTCTTTATCATGTTTTCTAAAACATGTTGGAAAAGTTAATTTAAATTTAATAAAAAGATATAAGTAGTTTGATCGTGTTTAATAGAATTTAGTATCAAATTAGAATTTTTATTTATACATATCAATACAGTTACAGGCCTGCAATAAAATTTAAATATATACAACCCCTACTGTTAATTTCTTACCCTGTTTTTTCTAAAAAGCCCTTATATTGATCGGCAGCACCTGTTTTTCCCGTAACAGCGCTAAGTGTTCCAACGGTGGAAAATGTACGACTACACCACTGATGAGCCTCTCACAGAGCTGCTGCATTATTAAATCACTTTTCTCCCTTAGTTTTTGATACACAGACGTAACAGTTCACAATAAAGTTCAAGTCCAGAATAGCTCAGTCAACAAGTTTGGTTTATTGGACAGAGGAAACAGTATGGTAAAACCTCACTAACTCGATACCTGGTAACTCGACAGTCAACAGCTGACAGAGCGCACGTTTAGCTGGCTTTGTCTTACTATTTTGTTCGACTTTTCAAATTTTAATTGCTGAATATTTAACTTTTCTTTGAAATAGTTATCTGTGCAACTGGTGAGCAAAGTTAGCAATTGACTCACTCGAGAGAAATACTTACTCACGAGCCGTAGGCGAGTGAGGAATGGTTTCTCGAGTGAGGCAATTGCACTTTGCACTCGAGTTGCAAATTAAATATATTTCCTACAGTTACCATAAAATAAATAAATTGGTAAAGAAACTTAACGTATTTTTACACAGAAGTGAACTTTTAATATGACATTTAATGATACAACAGTACAGCAGCTGACCAGCTGATTTACAGCCAGTGCTGCCAACGTATTTCGCGCCCATACGACCTTGTATGCATTTTACTATTTCGTGCCTTCACTTTGCAAATCTGGAGTGAGTGAGACAAAGTAAATAGAGTGAGACAATGTTGGGAATGGTTTCTCGAGTGAGGTGATTGCACTTTGCACTCGAGTTGCACATTATATTTTCCCTACTTAAAACAAATAAATTGGTAAAGAAACGTGCCTTCACGTTGCAAATCTGGAGTGAGACAAAGTAATTAGAGTGAGACAATGTTAACATTGTCTCACTGATGAGCGAATTGGCCACTTTGCTTTCCCAAATCAGTGAGAGAACATGTACATTGTTAGGTAACTGTAGGAAAATAGTTTACTCAATATGAAAGAATACTCATGTAAGAATTAAAATTATATGTAAAATAAAATTAATCTTTTATGTATAATTTTTTTTAACCCATTGAAAATTTGAATGTTTTGGATAACTTGACAACCCCTAGGTCAACAAATTGTTGAGTTAGTGAGGTTTACTGTAATTTACATCACCACATTCTATCTGGCTAAATTTAACTACTGCAAGTTCATTTTTATTGCAAATAGGATACAATTCTACAGGGGAGTGGAATGTCTTGATTTATTGTGTGCGTTTCCTTGTCTCAGCATAACAATACACATGTATGTCACAGGAGGAGCTGGTGAACCGACTGTCACGCAAGCTGAGCGTGCTGCGCGCCGAGGCAGTAGCTGTGGAGGAGGAAGGAGAAGTGAATGAGGCGCTCGGCGCAAGTGTGGGTGACAGAGTGTCAGCGCTCGCCAAGCCACAGGAGGCAACAAAGTTCCGTCTTCACATCAAGGAAGTGGGACACATCACGAGTCTCCTGTTGGGACTGTCAGGGCGACTAGCGCGCGCTGAGAACGCCCTTCTCACACTGCCTGACGACCATGTGGACAGGGTACGCCTTTTTCAAATTTTGAATGTAGATTCGAGATTTTGCTTTCAATACATTGCTGAAATAGTTTTCAATGTGAACTCAAGCTAGTTTAAGCAGAACTGGATGCATTATAAACTTATCAATTCATAACATTTTAGTTTTTAGCTTAGTTTTTTTTTTAGCTTGGGAATGCATTGGAAAAAGGAATGGATTCACGACTTGCTATCCAAAAAAATATTTCCAAGTAGTTGACTGATTACAAAAAATTATGTTGTGAATTAGTTATGTGCTATCAAGTGAAGGGAACCCTCTTCTTAGGTGAGTTAGTTGTGTGTACATTCCTTCTTTGTCGATGTATACCTCAACTTTTAGTTCTCTGCTACTTGTTCGGAAAAGAAAACTAAAAATTCTCCTTGCTACTTGACTAAGAACATAAAAACGCCATTGTGGCTTTAGGAAGTGCTAGTCATGTACCTGTGGCGTAAGTTTTAAAATTATATTGATAACATTTGTTTCTGATTTTGTTTGCTGTTTAAGCTCAGTCGCATAAACACTACAATTTTTTATTCAAAATATTTATTGGCTATTTTTTAACGAGAAATTTTGATATTAGTTAGTTGTGGACTGGAGTGATGTAGTTTTACCATAAATACAAAATCTGTTTTTTTTTCTGAAATAAATATTGCTGATTACAGAAAACTCTGGAGGGCAAGAGAGACAAACTTCAAACACAACTCGAGGAAGCAAAAGAGCTGAAGCGAAACATCGACAGACGGAGTGATTCAGTGTCGGCGATGCTGTACAAGTATTTGACCGCTGAGGAGTACGCAGACTACGACCACTTCATAAACATGAAGGCAAAACTGCTCATAGACTCCCGGGAAATATCCGACAAAATCCAGCTGGGTGAAGAGCAGTTGGCGGCCCTGCGAGAAACGCTGAACGAGCCGAGGTGAAATGTTGGCAACAATGATCGATCAATGTCGACTAGTCATCATCACAATCAGTGGCTTCGAGTACTTTAACGTTACCTTGCTCATTTATGCATTTCTTCTGACTGTTCTCTAGTATTCACGTTCCGCGAGCTCTGTAAATGTAGTTAACATGAACAATAGTCATCAGTGTGCAATAGAGTTATGTGATAACTGTAAACCTTGTAGCATACTAAATCTGCCATAGGCTGTTAACGACTTACATAGGATATTTAGAACAGCATATTGTCTTCTATACAGATAGTCTTACGAACAGTGTTTGATTGTAAGTTTATTTCACTACTGTTAACTTTCTGTTCTGCTTTTGTGTTGTCTCGAAACGAATGTACTTACACTCAATTTTACTGAGTTTGTCTTTATACAGCATAGAGCGTGATTAATAATCAAAATGTTTATGTTAAGTATATCAAGCTTTTCTGTGAATAGGTACAAAAATGTAGACAACTGTAAATTTACAACAAAAATTAAACTGAAAGAGAGTAAAGAATATATTGTTCCCATGTGAATTCCACTTACTTCTAATAGAATTACATAATTTCCCTTTTATTTTAAATTTATATCTCTTAATGAAAAAGTTGTAATAAGAAATAGTATTTACAAACACTTCAAGTTAGTGCAAAATAACTTAAGTTTATCCAAATGTGGAATTACAAGTATTGCAAGTCACTTAAAATTTATAAAAGTCTTTTTGAGGAAAAAGCATTTGGCTTAGGAATACATCAAGGAAGAAGAAATGGATGTACAACTAACTTAAAAGAGTTCCAGGTAATTCAAAGCACAAAAAATAATTCACAACACAATAAAGTTTATATTTCACCTCTGCAAGGGGCTTCTTCACAAGAAAATTTTCAAACTTTTTTCTTCTCAAGAAGCCCATTGTAGGAGCGAAATATCAAGTTTATTGTGTTTTGAATATTTTTGTGTACTTTAAACTACCTAGAACTTTTTCTAAGGTAAGTTTGTTGGGCACATTCCTTCTCCCTCAGTGTATTACATTTGTATAAAACAGTTCCTTTACTAATATTTACAGACAAGACAAAATAACTGTGTATATTGAATAAAGAACAAGTTAAAAACCAAGTCCAACCCAACTGGAAAGTATAGGTCTAAGATAGAAAATTGAATTGTAACCAAATCATTTACTCGACTAGGCTAGTTGTAACTAGACCGACGTCCCTATCTTCACATGTAGTCAGACGACTTCATGTTGAAAGATGACATAGTAAGGTGAACAGACAAACCTCTTCATATTTGTATATTCACTTGATATCAAATACTTAAAGATGGTTTTGTCTGTATGATGAAAATATACAAAATTATGGATACAAAAAATTAATTGTACAAATGCAACTACTAGCAAATAATATTCTTATCTCTGCAAAAAATAAGTTTCCTTCCACTGATTAGGTTTCTAATTCTACAATAATTGATTTCTTTACATAAAAACTGTTATTTGTATCTGATAAATAAAAAAAAAATACATTAATTTTCTTTTAAGAATCCTCTGATTTTTGTGATTAATTTCAGTGTTTGTTGGATTAATGTGGAAAATAACTAGAGAGGCTTTGGTTATACGAGATTGAATGAATTTCCTCTATTTGTTAGGTTCTATGATTTGTCTGTTGTATGTTTATCTTTATTTGTATACCGATAACTGTGTAATATATTTTGTAAATAAAAAAAGCCCAAGGTGCTCTTTATCTACTGAAAACAGAGTTAGTTATTTGGATCCTTTTAGGTTTTTATTTTTACTTTCTCTCCCTATATGTGGTATACGGAGAAAGTATTGATTTCATCAAAAGGTTGAGTTTTGTAAATACATTTTCACCACACTACGATGTTTTTAGCCGATTTACAAACGTTTATTAAAGCTACTCTACGTATTGCTGTCTATGCTAGCTGTCATTGTCATTTGGGGACCAAGCAGGTTTTTACATCCCTAGGGCAGAAAATCAGCTACCCGCTTACTTTCTTAAAACATTAATGAATATTAAATACACAATCAGTATCCATAACATTGCAATACAATTGTTTTATTGTCACCGCTGCCATAGACAAATAGAATAAATATAGACCGGCAGCAGTGCTGCAGTAAGCATAGTTTCCGGCACCCACCGCTAAGAGTGCCGTGTAATTACGGAGCACACCGCTGCAGGCGAGGAACTGTGTGCTACCAGCAGACGCTGCAGCGGTGTGAGTCGTAACTACAAGGCACTCCTAGCGGTGGGTGCCGGAATCTCCCTTTGACAGTCTATATTTATTCTATTTCTATACCACTGTCTAGCAACTATTTATCACTATTTTGCTGATTCCTCAAATTATTTCTTCACATACCGGTAACCTTAAAGTTGTACTTGTATTGACTATTAGTATGCATTATTATTGTGGTGAATAGTGGTAATAGGGTATAGTGTGGTGAAAAATAGCGTTCGTACCATGGACTAAAATGGGTTTGCACCTCTCAATCGTTTTAAGTTCTCGACTTTGTCTCTCACTTAAAAACTATTTGAAGCCGGCAAAACCTCATTTTCGGCCCTAGGTACGAAATATACTATTACAATTACCTTCAGACAGCTAAAAAATGTGTTCGTTCAGGACATGTTATTGAGCTGTTTGACAGAAATTGCGTAAGTAATTTAGTCTTATATTGTGTCCAAAAGAAATCATGGGCTAAAAACATGGCTTTTTAATCAAACAAGCATTCTTTCTATTACACTACACATTGTACAAAACAGTACATAAGTAAAAAATAATTATACAAAACTCAAACATAAACCTCTGTTGAACATTCCTGTTCCACTAGCTTACTTTTGTACAATAGCTGATCTATTAACTGATAATACACCCCTACCGAAGTAGAGGTGACTGTTAAACCACCTAAATTGTCCGATACTTGAGCAATTTTACTAAATTTATATTGAATTCAGCATAAATTGTTATCAACAATTGTTACAGTTTTTACATTTAGGTACTCATTTACTATATATTTAGATGTAAGCCCTGATGGTAGGGGTCATGAGGGTTGATTGATAGTTGGCAGCGAACATAGGGGTAGCTATAGAAGTGACAATAAAAGAAAAAATCAAATCAGCAATTGTTCTCTTACCCTGCAGGCAATAAATATCTGTTAGTCTATGACCGATATGGGTTCTTATTCTAACACCAATCTAACGGAAAGGTGGTTGTAACAGAACACAGGTTAGGGTTATTTAAACCCGAATAGACATTAATCTTAACCCCATTAAGCACTAAAAATTCAACCATTTCTGATCCACGGCTCAATCAAGGTTATGTCCATCTTCTCCGCTCTGAATCTGCAACAGGGGTAAGCGAAGGCAGCCTTGCTGTAGAGATTAGCCTCAAGGACTCCTTCTTGGCATCTCCGGTCAATACCTTCAGCTGTACCTGTTCCAATCCTAGGAACAGCCTCCACCCAGTAGCCTTCAGTGTCTGAACTGATGCCTCGTCAACTGCAAGAACAAGGGTCTGGCACTCTTCCTCTCTCTTGCAGCTGACGATCCTCCAGTCATCCACCGACAGGCCACTATTCTGGGTTTTGATCATCCTAATCAAATCCTTTGCCTCTCTCTTTGCTAACCGGTTGTTGGTTCTGAGGAGGACCCTGGTGGTCTTCAGGAGATCCTTGTAATTCCCAACTTTGACCACCACCTCCTCATCACCCCCAACACGTAGCTTGTGGGAGATTGTCTTCAGCCAGTCAACAGTGTCTTCGTTGCTGCAGGTCAAAATCAAAGCTCCACTTTCCAGATATGTTTTCTGAATCTGGAGCTTTGTCCCTTCTTCTACCAGACAGAGCTCACTGACCAACTGTTCCTCTAGAGCCTCTGCCTGTTCTTCTGTGAACCTTACCTGCGGAAACGCTTCAGGAACAGCAGCCATCTTGCGTCCAAAGAGCTTCTTGAAGGTGGGCTTGTTCTCACCTGCATCGACCCTCTTCCCTACTCGGGCAGTTGAGGCAGTAGGAGTGGTCTGGTCCCATCTCGTTCGCTTCACTCGTGGTGTCACTTTCTTAGACAAAGCACTGTCCAAGACAATCCCCCCAGCAATTTTGGTTGTTTCGCTTTGCGCAGATTCAACCTTTACATTATTAGACTTATTCTTCTTTTTACGAGAAGCGAGATCTTTAGATTTCCGCCATTCTGATTTAGGTTTCCATGTCCCCTCCGCTAACTTTCGCTCCTTGACCAGTTTCCTGTACTGGGAACAAGAGAGCTTGAGGTTGCAGTTCAAAATGTTCTCTTCGCCCGTCTTGACTTCATCTGTTGCTTCTGCAATACCAACAATTCTAGTGCCAAACAAAAAAAGAATTAACGAAAAATGTATACAGCTAGTATTATATAATTTTATTTACTATGGAACTAACCATTTTTAGTCCCAAATTTAAATATTTCCTCCCCATCCCCCCCCCCCCCCAAACCGTGCATAATGATGGGGCTCGCCCAACTATTAAGCATGGATCTTAAGCTACAATCATACTTTAAGAATCCAAAAATATAATTAAACAACAACTAATTGAACCAGTAAGTAGCCTAATTGATTATTTTTAGAAAATTGGGTTGTATTGATGATACAGGAATATTAAAAGGACTTTTTTCATGACACAGAAGTGTCATGTCATCACAAAAAGCAATCTTCAAAAAAAGAATAGCTGTATGATTTTATACATTAGGGGCCTATAATGTTGTTTTTATCTTAATTATTACCTGATCGATTCTCATAATCTTGGTTTGAGAAAGGGTGGTGAATGTACCCAGGTTTGTAACTCAGCAGATGTTCAACCACGGGGATGGATAGAGCAGCCACAATACGATCTGTCTTGGGGTCACAGCTAACAACAAAATTCACAGTTTTGTGAGTTCAGATTCACCACATGGATTAGGCCTACCAATAATATTCGGCTAAATATAGCTATTCGGGTGTAAATATGTCTCCTCGGGTGTAAATAACCCTAACCTGTGTTCTGTTACAACCACCTTTCCGTTAGATTGGTGTTAGAATAAGAACCCATATCGGTTGATATGGGGCTCGTGGTAGGCTGATTTATCTGAAACTAGTTGAATCACAGTTTCAACTGAAAGCTATTCAGTAATATTAGCCTACATCATTCCCTTATTATTGGATGTTATTTTATTACACCTTTCACATTTCAAAGTTGCATCAAAATACATCTAAAACTCCAACTTTGCCACACCAGCTAAGCCACAAATTGGTTAGGTTGATATGGATTGTACAATGCACATCAACAGTGCAACACCTTAGTTGACTGAGCTACCATGCTACTATCAGCCGAACGCAGCAATTGCCACAACAGTTTAAGCATACTAGCGCATACTAATCTGCGAGGATGGATAAAAAAGGAAGGTGATTGCTAATCCTTTTAATACCTGGTTGGATAAGTTGGTAATGTTCTGTAATCAACTAAATACAGTATAATTTATCATAAAAAGTACAATGAAAACATTTAAACAAGGAGAATAATTAATAAAGACTTACTCCATACGGTAATACCCCTTATTGAAAAAAGCATCTGTGAGTTGAACCAGACGAATCTCAGGGTATTTGGTTTTGTTTAGCACCATGAAGAGTTGGCATAGATTCCAATAATCAGGCGGATAACGGGATTGATAATTATTAACATCCCAATCCCAATCATATACATGTGGTATCTCTGTTGACATATTCACACTCATTTCCATTTCATAAGTTTTGTAATCACCCTCTAGGCCTAAATCACCATGTAACACATCGCCTAATGTTAAAAGTGGGATACAGTATCCCTGATACTTTTGGTCCTGTCAACAGTATTTTGCACACTGAATGCAGAAATGTCATTAGTCTTTGTCGGAAATCGCCTTCTGTGTCCTAAAACAGAAATATTAAAGTTTACTAATCCATGCAATATATCTAGGCTGGCTAAGTTGGTTTTGATGGGGATTTGGAAGAAATAAAGATTAGTTGGGTAAAAGAGAGGAAATATGTATCATGATGGTTCTAACATAGGCTATGTTTTAAATTGTTAATTTTTTTTTTTTAATTTACCTATGTTTACAATTTATGAATTTGTAATAAAGTTTAATCTCGTAGTAAGAAGTATTGTTTTACTATACATTTAAAAGCCTAACCATAGACTTTTTCCTTGTTAAAGCATTAGCAATTTTATTGTTCTTTGTTGCATGTGTTTTTTTATAAAAAAATTGCTCTGTCATTGTTTTAAGCTTATATTCCATGATTATTTATTGTATTTGTGTAGGCTACTTATTGTTATAAACAGTGAAAAGACACTAGCGTCTCAAAAACCGATGAGAACCTCATCTGCTAAGGAGTGGGGGGAGTGGCGTTACTCTCTTGAGGGAACACCATTACCGCAACGATATGAAGTGAACGGATGTTCGTGGTGTAGTGGATAGAATACACGGCTGATGTCCATGATGTAACCAGATCGAATCCCACTGGCGACATTTAACTTTTTATCAAAGATTTTGCTTAGAATGTGATTAATTCTTAACTATACATCATTTATTTGAATGTGAGGCATTGATAATTTAATTTTGTGAACAGAACTATTTTTTTTTATTAGTAAACCTCATTCAATTTTTATCTTAGCCTATATATTTTTGATATTATCAGCAAGTTTGGTTGGTTGAGTTAGGTCATAACAGTTTAAATTCAAATTTAATTAAAAAAATTTAA